GAGAAACAAGATGAGGAAGAAAGCGAAGGAACTTAATCATGAGGTAAAAGGTAGAAGGTGGAAGGAGGATGAACTATAATTTTTTTAATGAAAGAATTAAATATTTGATTAACTTAGTGGGCCAAAAGATTGCCACTATTATTTGAGGAGGCTTATGTTTGTTGAAAAAGATTCACCATGGTTCCCTAGGTGGATAAAAGTGCTTACATGTCACATAACATGTTGTGTTTAGACAGCAGTGTAACTATCACATGAGGCATGTTACTTTTTTTTTTTTTGTTAAATTGTTCACAAATTTTCAAAGCTATGGAGTTGATGGATTGAAACTTTTAACTTTATAGTATGAGGAAATCTAAGGTCAATCTTATAAAGTCTAAAGGCTATTTAGGGATTTTTGCCCATGTAAAAAGCTAAAAAAGAAAAAAAAATAGAGAAGGTTTTTCATTTTTACAATGATGTGGGGATTGAGGGGTTTTGGAAAGTTGACTTGAGGGCTAGAAAAGAGGTTTGAATGTTGGCCTCGAGCTTTTCTTTTTGATGCTTTTCGAAGCTATAAATGAGAGGAAAAAATTGATTCACAAGAAGGAGAAATGAAGATATTGTTGAAGATATGCTTCAAAAGTCCCATATTTTTTGTGAAGGGTATGCTCAATTTAGCTTTTTTTTTTTTTTCAATTATTTGATCTATTATAATTGCATAAGTTAGCTCTATATTGACTTTAGCTTTCTTGGCCTTAAACCCAATGACTTTTGACTCTCTAGTCCTCAATTCATCTTAATAAAAGGTGAACACTGTAGCTCATCCTAAAAAGACCAAAGCTTTGCAACTTTTTAGCTTGTCCAACATGTCCTACAAAACAAACCCTGGAGTGGTCTCTGAGAGAGACACTTTGATTTTGAAGTCAATAATTAACATATAGTTCATCCTAAGGGAAACTATGTAGAGAGAAAAATAGAAGTCATGAATGTACCTTGAAGATGGTGGTTGTGAGTTATTTATAGACCTATAAGGGTGATGATCATGTGGCCTAATTGCAGTGGCTGTGTATGAGCACATCAAGTATAATGCACATCCATGAGAGTTCATGCAAAGGCATCTAGTTGTGTAATTGGGGCTCATATATTAGTCATTAATCCAAAATGGGGAGTTCATTTTGGACCTCTTTAGTTTAGACCCCTTCACTTTGGACCTTTTTAGTTTAGCTTTGTTACTTTTTTAATTTAGCCTAGTTAGCACTAACATGGTAGTTCAGTTCAAGTACTCTTTCCTATTTATATAAACAAGTTGTTTCAATATTGCAATTGTGAAATTGAAGCAAATTTTAAATGGAAAGCATGTGAAAGATGAATATAAATTAGTCTAAATTCAAGTTTTACTCACAATATCTTCCTCTAAAATCTCTTTAAATTATTTTTTATATCCAATGACAAAATACAACACCTCATGAGTGCTAGTAAGAAATACAATGTGGATTTGGTTTGTGGACAATCACTTCTGAGACAATCATTGATGCTAACTTTATGCAAAAAAGTGTTGGGAAAAATGGGGCATTGGAATACAATAGTTCTTGTGAACAAAACACGTGAACAAAACATGTGAACAATAACAAAGAACGGTAAAACAAGTGGCTTTGCCAGCCAATATTAACGATTAGTGATAAAGGCGACAAAGCTAGCCAAACAAAATAAAAATGAGTGATTTAACCAACCACTTAAGAGAAAAATAAAATATCCAAAATAAAAATGAGCGATTTAACTAGCCACTTAAGAGAAAAAATAAAATCAAATCACAACACCAAATTTTAAGTGGAAAAAACCCCCAAAAAACTATTAAGGGAAAAAATCATGAGACAAACTTCGAAGGATATTCCACTATATGATCAAATTGTATAAAGTGTACATTCAACTATTTTTCTCTCATGATGTTTCCAACTCTCCCATGATATGATCACAATCCTGATAAACTCATAATTTTATCACTCAATGTACTCTCTTTATAGAGCACACTTACACCTAAGCTTAATGCCTAGCTCTTAACCCCCCCTTTTTTTTTTCACCCTGAGCTCTCTCCTTGGAACCCACTCACTTACTTTTGTATTAGACTACTGCTTCTTACTTGCGCATTGCCTTGCCATTGCATAAGTACTTATAGGGTAAAACCCCAACCACCCATGCATGATTTTCTTCCTTCATTAAATGGGTAAACTTTCAATAGTAAAAAATAACCATGCAAGATTTTAGCAAGTGCTACTATAGATGCAACCTTTTAACCATAGGGTGAGAAGTTTACCACAAGGAAAAGTCCATGTGTTCACATGGGCCGGACTTTTGCCAACAATCTCCTTATCCAGCCCTATGGGATGAGACTTAAATCCTAACTCCTCACTTGGAGTCCATCCCAACCAACTTTGTGCAATATTCAAACTTTTCACTATGAAGAATGTTAGTCTTCACATCAACAACGTTGTTGTTTGTGTGAATCTTTCTAAGTTGAAACTGCTTGTTCTCTATCACCAGGTGCAGCTAGTTATATCTCACATCTATATGTTTTATTAAAGCTTGGTACATAGTGTTCTTGCTCAAATCTAAATCACTTTGGCTATCATAAAATATTACGTACTCTTTTTACTTCAATCCCAATTCTTGAAGGAATCTCTTCATCTAAAGTATCTCTTTACTAGCTTTTGTAGCTGTAATGTATTCAACTTTAGTTGTTGACAAGGCAACACACTTTGGTAATTTTGACTGCCATGATATAACTCCCCCTACAAAAGTGAATAAATAACTTGAAATAGATTTTCTATTATCAAGGTCACTTACCATGTTTGCATCTGTACATCCTTTTAGAATTGGTTCAATCTGCCTAAAAGTCAAACACAACTTGATGGTTCCTCTAAGATATTTGAAGACCACTTAATAGCTTCTCAATGAATCTTGCTTGGATTGGACAAGAATCTATTCACAACACTAACATGAGTAATGTCTAGCCATGTACACACCATTGCATACATTAGCGAATCGACTGTAGAAGAATAAGGAATAGATAGGATTTTCTCCTTTTCTTCTTTGGTACTTGGACAAGATAATTTACTCAACTTGAAGTGATTTGCAAGAGGGGTGCTAATTGGCCTAGCATGTTTCATGTTGAACCTTTTAAGTTTTCGTTCAACATACTTTTCTTGTGACAACCACAACTTCCCAACCTTCCTATCATGGGTAATAACGATACTCAAAATCTGTTTTGTTGGTCCCAAGTCCTTCATGTCAAAGGACTTTGATAACTCCTCTTTTAACTTGCAAATCTTCTTGGCATCTTGTCCCAAAATCAACATATCATTAACATATAATAAAAGGATCATGAAGTTACCATTAGGAAATGATTTGATGTAGACACATGCATTTGCATTTGTTCTTTTATAGTTTTTGACTTGTCCTAAAAGAGTCAAACTTTTTGTACCATTGTCTTGGAACTTGTTTCAATCCATACAAGCTCTTTTTTAGCTTGCAAACCATATGCTTTTTCCCTTCTTCAAAACCTTGTACTTGATCCATATAAATTTCCTCATGCAAGTCATCATGGAGAAACATAATTTGCACATCCAACTACTCAAGCTTAAGATTTGTGCTTGTTGCTAGACCAAACACAACTCAAATTGAGTTCATATTCACCACTAGGGAAAATATTTCATCAAAACCAATCCATTTTTTATGATTGAAGCCCTTTATGATTGAAGCCCTATACCACTAGCCAAGCCTTCTATCTATCTTATCACCATCTTTCTTGAGCCTGAACACCCATTTGTTCTTCAGGGTTTTTCTTCTTTTGGGAAGTTTCACAAGCTCATAAGTATTGTTCTTATGTAGGGTGTTCATTTCCTCCTACATGGCCTTTATTTAGTAGTCGCAATCTTTGTCTTTGTGAGACTATACCTCTTACAAGTTCTTCAACTCCCCCTCTTTAGTGACCAATATATAATCAGAACTAGGTATCTTATAGATGGTTTATGCTCTCTAATGGACCTTCTCAACCGAGGTCTTTCCTCCTATGGTAGGAAGTGTTCCTCTTACTCATTACTGTTGACTTAATGTACTCCAAGAGGGGGGTGAATTGGAGTTCCAAAAATTTTCCACTTTTTCAACCATAAAACCAAAGTTAAAGAGAGTAAAGAAGAAGAGCTTGCACAATGAATTTATAGAGGTTCGGTCCAACCACTTGGAACCTAGTCCTCTACCTTGGCTTCACTCAACAAGGATTTCCTCCACACTCTCCACTAACAACAACAAGGGTGGCTTAAAGGAGCCACTCAATCCTTTTACAAGAATAAGGGTGTTTCTCTCAAATTTCACCCCTTTACACTTAAACCCCACGAATCCTCTCTACAAATCACTCTTGAAGGATTAATCACACCCCCAAAATCACTCACAAATAAAACAAGAAGAAGATTACAAGTAAAGATCTCTCAAAGATCAAAAACTCAAGTTAAAGCTCATGTAGGTAGGTAAAGATATTCAATACAATGCTCTCTAAACCTCCTTCCGATCTTCTACCAACCATATTTATAACCCCATGGTCGAAAATAACTGTTACTAGCCGTTATGGGTCATTTAATCCTCTGCAGGACGCAAAGCTCGAGTTGCAGGATTGTCAGGAGAGCCGGCTCAGCTTCCTAGAGCTGGCTCTATACAGCCGGCTCACCATTTCTGCAGCCGGCTTTACGGGATTCCTGCACATTCCGTTTTCTTCCACAGCCTGCTGCAAAGCCTAGAGCTGGCTTTTGGATTCCAACTTTAAACATATTAAATAATCTTCAAATAACTCGACCGTTGTGCATTAAATGCACCCTCACAGCCGACTACAAAGTGGGAGCCGGCTCTGCTTCCATTTTCTGCGCGCGCCAAAACAGCAGTTAAATTTCTGGCCTGTAGAGCCTGTTCAACAAAATCTGCAGCCGGCTCTCTACATTTTTGCTTCCTAGAGCCAACTGCAATTTTCTTAAGCTGGCTCTCTACATATTTTTACCCTTTGAGCCCTTTTTAATGCAATCTCATTTTGCTTACTTTGCAGTATATTGGCAATTTAACTATACACTTAAATAAATCAATTAGTCACTCAAATGTGTTTTGTAATCATCAAAATCATAGGTACAACAATTACTTGCTCCATCCACAATTGCTTCATCTTCTTCAATGGTTGGCTCCTTTGTCTCATCTTTTGGTATTTACACCTCTTCTTCATTTATAATTTTTCTTGAAGGAGTTTATTGGTGTTAAACCTTATACACCCTTTCCAGTGCCTTTTATAGCTTTGTCCTCCTTCAAATCATTAATTTTCTCAGTTCATGGAACATGACATGTTTTTCTTACAGTTTTCTTCTTTTCTAGGTCCCATAGTTTGTAGCCAAACTCCTCATCACCATATCCAACAAAAATACATGGAGTGGCTTTATCATCTAGCTTTGATCTTTGTTTCTTTAGCACAGGTATAAATGTTTTGCACCCGAACACTCTTAAAGGAGAGTATCCAACATCTTTTCTTGTCCAAGTTCTCTCCAAAATGCCAAAGTTCAAGGGAACTGAGGGTGATTGATTAATCAAATACAGTACAGTATTGATTGCTTCATCTTAGAATGTCGGAGGTAGATTTTCCATTCTTAACATGCATTGAACTATCTCTAAAATGGTATGGCTCATTTATTGTGCAACACCATTGTGTTGTGGAGTGCCAGGAACTATCTTCTTACGTCTTATGCCATGCTTTGAATAGTAGTCTTTGAATTCTTAAGAGGTGTACTCCATTCCATTATCTGTACGAAGACATTTCAGCTTCAAACTTGCGTCCCTTTCCACCAAAGCATGGTAAGGTTGGAAATACTTGAAAACAAGGCTTTTATTCTAGGTTAAATACCCTTTTTGGTCCCTCTGCTATAGGAAAAAGCCCCTTTTTGGTCCCTCTGCTATAGGAAAA